TAATCTTTATGGCATGTTATTTTCTATTATTTACTTCATGTTAGTTTAATTGCCTTAGGATATTGCATTTATTTTAGGATTTGTAGCTTTTATTACATTTGTTTGGTTGTGAAGTCCTTGGAGGTTTCCAAGGTAATTAGTAACCCATTTTGCAGAACTTTACCCTCTGTTTTGCAACATCGTTTGGGGCAGAATTCATTTTACAGACGTTCTTTCCAGCCATTCTATTGGAGGTTGACCGTTGGAAAGGAGAAGGGTCGTTTGGAAAATGCAGTTTTCTTGTTTTTAAACAAAGCAAGTGGCACGCCTAATAACCAAACTCACGTGGTAAAGGCCAGCTGAGGATTTTTCGGGAAACAATCCTTTGTTGGCACGCTTGGTGGGACCACCAGCAAGGTGTATCAGTTAAAGTTCACAGACCCTCTGTTTATACATCTAGAAGTGTCTAGAGCCATGCCACCGAGAAAGAGTAGAGACAAAGAGGTTCAGCCAACCCAGCCTAAACATGCAGATGACAGTCCACTCCACTCTGAGGGTGAAAATAATCCCATCACTTTTCTCCCAGTGTCACCTTTGGTAGAACGGTCCTATGGGAATCTAATATTTAAGGAGAAAGAAGCAGACCGTGAGGGTGACTTTGCAGAATCAAGTAATGTGTTTAGAGGTATGACTAAACATCTAGATTTAGCATTCAAAGAACAAAACCAGGCTATGCGGAGACTTGTTGAGAGTCAAGTAGAATCCTCCAGACATAAGGAAGAGATAATTAGACAATGTATGGAAGACATGAAACGGGTCTTTGAAGAAGGCACTAGGTGATGCGAGAAACTGGGGAAGAAAGTCGCAAAACTCTACAGGCTGTTTCAGAACAAGTGGTTGAGCAAGTGCGACAGCCCAGACCTGAGATCCCTCCTCCAGCCGTTGAAATGCCTAGGCAGATTCAGGAAGCCCCAATCCCAGCACTCAGGGAGCAAGGGAATCAACCTCATCCTAACATTCAACAGCAGAATCTCTTCATGGGTGAAGAGCAAAGACATCATGAACCAATGGAGGCTGCTACTCCTGTTGCAGACCATGCCCATCAACCTCAGCACAGGTATATTCCGTCAGGTATGAGGGGAAATGTGGGTCCTCATCATCAACCCTACCCAAGGGACTTTTTCTAGCCACAAGCTCCTCCAGCCCAATCGGTACAGTGCGGTCTACAGAATCAACCAGCTCAATTGTTCAATAGAGATCAGCTAATAGATCTGGTACAAAAAACCTATGGACCAGCCTTGAGACCATTGGTACGTCCAGCCTACAGGAAGCCTTATCCAAACGTCATTGATCATGAAAATCCTTTTCCAAGGGGTTTTAAAGTGCCTAAGTTCACTTTATTTTCTGGTGAGGTTGGTCAATCCACTATTGAACATATTGTACGCTTCACAATACAATCTGGAGATGATAACTAAGACAGCCCTTACTTGGTACCTCAGTTTGCCTCAAAATTCAGTCTACTCTTGGAGGCAAATGGAGGACTTGTTTCATGCTCAATTCTATCGTTGTGAACCGGAAGTGTCTATGGTAGA